GAGGCGTGCTCCAATATGTTACGTTATGTCTGCATTAGCGGAAGGATATTTTACTCATATTGTTTAATGGAAGTTACCCATACTTTCATACTTTATATAATATGTTATTAAGAAGAATACGTGCAACACATATTTATTACTCTTTTGAAAATGATAGCCATATTTCAAGTCACATGAGTAAACATTTTTTATCCGTTTTATATAATTTTTACTGTAAAATTGTAAGAAGTTTATGTATTCCATGCAAGCTCTTCCTTCCTGATAATTACCTGACACGAACGCTACTAGCGCCATCTATTTTTTGCATATCAAGCGGCAGCTCATTTGAATGTACAGCGTTCGATTCCGGTGCCACTTTCTATTGCTTTGATTTATTGCTATTTAATATGCAAAGCGATCGAAACATTTGTTTATAAATGGGTTATAAACAAAATTGTTGACAGCATTTACACTATATCGAAGTTATTTGTCACCAGCTTATAAAATATCTTATAAAATTTTAAATACTTTTTTAAATCAAGATAATTTACGACACTACAAATAAAAAATAAATGATGTACTGTAATTTTATTCTATCATTGTTTTTAAATGTTTTATTTTATTTATAAATTCTATTTCAGAATGCGGCGTGTCACTGCGAAGGCACACGAGACAGCCCAGAGACAGGTCCGCTGGCCAGCTGCGCATCATCAGAGGCAGGGAGTCCAAGAGAGGTGCTTGGCCGTGGCAGGTTGGATTACTATGCTATCTACCATTAGTGACTATGTCTATGGGCTTCGCTTAGGGAGGTAGCAGGCGGGAAGCAGCTGCCCGATCATCAGCTGGCGGCGTCTATGTCTTTATTTGTGTCGTTTACGATAATATTATACATATGTTTTGATTTAAGTATATTCGTTATATCTAGCTAATGTAGTGACAAATACTTCTGCAGCTGACGATATGTTCCATTGATACAAATCATCTCGAGTCTAGAAGTTAATGTATTGAAATTTTCTTTATGAATAACAGCTAATAGTTGATGAATAAATTTGCAGGTGTCGCTACAACTGCTGCATCCTAACTACGGTCTGATCGGACACTGGTGCGGCGGTGTACTGATACACCCGCTGTGGTTGCTCACCACCGCGCACTGCATACACAAGTAAATATATCACCTCTCATAAAACGAAAGTAAAATAAAAAGAAAAGGAAATTGAAAAAGAACAAGAGGCATTGAGAAGAAAGGCTAAAAAGATCACTAATGTATTATAATAAACTGAATAGTAAAGTGTAATTGAAGTTTATGAGCCATATCTATTGCACTAACTTTATTACGATTTCCGAATTCCAGTGAGCTGTTCAACCTACCAGTAGCAGCGCTATGGACCGCGGTCCTCGGGGAGTGGGACCGCGCGGAGCAGAGAGGTTCCTTCGTGCCCATCGAGAAGATCATTCTGCACCATCGCTTCCATAATTACCAACATGATATAGGTAATAGTATTGAACATAACTGATACATTTGTATAATAAGTACCTAACTATAATTACCTCACGATTATTTCTGATTACAGCTTTAATGAAAATGACAAGAGCGGCTGACGTAAGTCCGGGAAGCAGAATCCGTACAATCTGTTTGCCGTCATACGAGTCACCTCTAGCAAACTACAGCCCTGAAAAAGGCACATCTTATTACGTTAGATCCAACTCTGAATACACCAAAAGAAAGTCTGTCAAACGTCCCAAACCGAATCCAGATTCTGCATCCAAATATTTAGAGAAACTAAACAATTTGACTAAAATTATGTTCCCAGGATATTCTAACAAGAAACATAAGAATTTGAGATACAATATAAGAGTATCAAATAATTCGAACAGACAGGCAGACAAAAAGAGCGAAGATGAAGAAGAAAATCCTAATACAGAGATGAAAAATAGGGATATAATTTACGATAGAGTAACACTAGATAAGGTAGTAAATTTGATACAAAGTAATATTGACGGGGATAAAGAAAGTAATGAAAGAAGTGATAAAAAGCTGATGTTTGGTGAAGAAATAGATCCATTTATTGAAGAAGATAATGGCATTGATAGTAAAGATGAATGTTATACGACTGGTTGGGGACGAGATCAAACTAATGGATCTTTAACAGATGTATTATTGGAAGCGGAGGTACCAATACTACCTTTGAACATTTGTAGAGACAGATACTCTTTATCTTTGCCATTGAACGATGGACACTTATGCGCAGGAAGTACTGACGGAAGCACTGGTGCTTGTGTGGTGAGTATTCCTTAATATTTAAAACAAAAGTTATCGTAGTAAGCAAATAATAAGATAAGTAATCCTATAAGTTGATAACTTGGTATCATTTAATATAAAACAGTAAAGATATCAAAGATTATACTTTCATTTAAGTTAGTAACAATACACCTCTATAAGACTGAACCTGACCTTAGATATAAAAACATGTCTGCAATCGAATAAATATAACGAGACTTGAAGTTTTAACATTTAATCTATGAACGATCGAAATGTCTGGATAAAAAGATTGACAAGCGAGATCTGGTTAGGCATTTGGCAATTTGAATCGATGCATTCCTTTCTTTTTGTTTCATTTCCGATCACGCAGATAAAGCAGTGAATCAGCATTTGCTGCTTCAAATGTTCTGTTTATCTACATGTCTATATTCAAATGTCTTATGGTTGAATGAAATATCGCTTGATTAATTTCTAATAGGGAAATATTGTTTTTTATTTAATAATCACCAGATTATTCAATTAAATTTTAATTAACAATTGTTATGTGAAAGCTATTTATGAATAAATTAAATTTAATTTAGGGTTAAAAGGATTTTGAATACTTCGGCTTTGTCTTCTTAAAAAATTATCTATATATGCTGTATGAATCATACTCGTAGTTTACAATATGCATTACAAATACTAGGTTCAATAGACGATAACGAAGCTTCAATGAAATCGGTTTTAAGACAGTTACATATGCTTTATTGTTGAATACTCATATAGGTGAAATATTTTGCTTATGGTTTGTTTTTGTTCTATTCCAGGGCGACAGTGGCGGTCCTCTCCAGTGCCGGTCGGGCGGATCCGGCGGGCGCGTTGGCGGTCGCTGGGAGTTGCGCGGGCTGACGTCGTTCGGTTCGGGCTGCGCGCGTCGCGGTGTGCCTGATGTCTATACAAACGTAGCGCACTACGTCTCGTGGATATACACTCATATATATGCCAGTTAAAATTTAATCATAATAGTGCAATAAAAAAGTATTGCAGTAAACTTGGTTCAGTGAGAGTCCAATAGAACGCGATATTTTCGTTGTTTATAGAGGTTTCTCGCTTATCCAGGTTCGACTGTATTCCTCCTCCTCTTACTTAGTTTCCTCTTACTTAAGTTAGTTTGTACCTACACTTGTAGTTACACTACATTCATAGGTTAAAAACAATGTTAGAAGTTATTGTAAATAAGATGTCTCGTGTAGCGACTATGTGATAATTATTATATTAACATATTTAATGCTTAACTGTAAAGTATATGAAAAGGTATCGAGCCCGGATTCTTCAAGTATTCTGATTAACTAATTAAATATTTAGACCTCCAGTAAAATTTTATTTCAAACAAAAAATTTAAAATTATCAGTTTCAAAAAGCACCCACTAGATGGCGCTACCTTATCCATGAGAGTGTGGGTTTTTTATTTTTAATTAATGTTAGTATCGAACAGTTGTATATTATTTATTGTTTTGTTATTTAAATACAGTTTGTTTAAAAGCTGTAAGTAGTTACCTGTAATATGTTAATCTAGTCTTAATTATATAAAATGTTAATTATCAATGTAAGAAATGTAAATAGTTAAATGTAAGGAAAATATTTAAATATGATAATATAAAAGGATGTTTATTATATCCCATAGATCATGGAGGAATTACAATATATTTATTTATGTTTTGAAAACGTTACTTAGTTTTAATTTAATTTGTATATAACATAATTATTATAAATAAAATAATTAAAGTAAGATTTTGTATAAATTTTATAATTTGAACAGAAAAAAAAGATATTTTCTGTAAAAAATATTTGTAATTTTTGTACTATAATTAAAATAAAAACTGTAAAAATTTCAAAATAAAATACTCATCATATAAAATCTATAAAAAAATCTTTTATTACATTCACCGTCAGTCTATTGACAAAATATACAATTATTATAATAACTTAACTATATTTAATAATAATATCACATTTTATTACGAAGAACTTAAATTATTATAGATGCTATATAGCACAAACGGTTTAAAAAACTGTTACTGCTATTATCCTGCTATGTTAACAGTTAGTAATAACGGTTACACAATGCAGACAATTTTGGATTGAATCATGCGAGTTTTAGAAATTTCTTCTTTCTTCAAAGCCGATTAAATACATACCAAATAATAAAACTGAAAATTTTGGTGAAAAAATTAAACTTATATTAAAGCGTTCAAATTATTTTTTCCAAGTTTTCTTCAAATAACTCATTTGTAAAACACGTATTTTACACATTCACAACAGTAACCTACTAATAAATTATTTATGTTGGCAAAGTACTCACAAACAGTACATAATAATACTAAATATTATGTATTACATATATAAAATAGAATATCGATAGAAACCATTCGATCCAATATACATCGTACATCCCGAATATAGGAATGTTTCGTAAACTTATAAATAAATTGAGCAAATAGATGTAGTTTCATTTCGTAAAACATAGAAAGATATATTTTCCTACTTTAGCTTTCAAACAAAATTTCCATTTAAAATTAAAATATAATTTTTCATTTATATTTTCTCGAAATTACAATTTAAAAGGATTCGAGATTAATCAAAAATTTGCAATATAAGACAAACATATTTTTAATTTTTAAAAAGGAACCAATTTCAAATATATACTCGTAAAAGCCTCATACAAAATCGTGATCTATAAAAACAAAACGATTAAGGCCGTAATATAATCACGTCAGTATTTGTAAAATCTGCTATAAACAGAAATCTAAAGAGTAAGCATGTCTCAAGTTAAATTACTGTTACACATATATTCCACAATATAACTTGTAGTGAATATGTTGATTTTTTTTCTTGGTACAGGACAGTATAAACTGAAGAAAATACATTTTCTTTTGCCTATTAATAGGTGTACCTCTCCCTGATCTTTCCCATCATTTCCAAGAAGAACTAAGAATCGATCTCTGGTTAAACGCAGGCATGCGCTTCACGCCTGTCTTCTCTGTTGTCTTCTAAAGTTATCTTATAGCTACTCTTTTATTCAGGAATCGGCAAGCAAGTCCGGCAAATCTCCATCTTCTTCAGTAATAGCTAACAGTGATACTGCTTCTTTGGCTAAATCATCATCATCTTTGAAAGCAGAATTATCAGACATATTAAGAATAATACTACTCCTCCTTCTTTCAGAACTCTTCCTTCTCACTTTAGGCTTCTCTTGTTGCTGAATTATTTTATACGTCGGTTTCCACATTCTGTATGCGCCCTGGATTGCAAAGAATGTACCAATGATGAAGAGCAGGATTTGTACAGTTAAGACGACAGGTGGGGCGATGACGAAACGAAGTCTCAGCAATTGTATTACTTCATTAGGTGCTTCTTTACAATACTGAAAGAAAATTCATACTTAATTTACTTACACTCCAAAAAAAATCGCAATGGATTCTAAACCATTGAAAAATACATGGAATCGGAACATATGGGTACAAAATGGGTTCGAACATGACGAAGAAGTTGAAGTACGAGTATGTTTCTTGTCCCACTAGGCTCTAAATGGTAATCAGTATTCTTCTCTTACCCCTCAACGTAACGGACGTGTCAAATCATAAGATTTAAGATCATGCATAAGCAAATAGCCAATAATATCCAACACTCTGTTTGATTTTGTATGTCTTTGAATTTTCAAACTAAATTATCTAAACGTAATTTATTTGACTTGTAACCAATTAAGCTTGAAGGTTTTCTTTTGTTTGCTAATGTCACAAAAATTACTAAAATCATCAACAACTAATATAAATAATTGTCTTTAATTTCCAATGCCATGGTAGGTGATTATACAAAGATATGTTATCAAAACTAATGACTAGGAGGACAAAATCAATTTTAAAAATTAAATAAAAAATTAATCATGTTTCACATGGTCAATATAATAAAGACATACATAAATTCGTTTCCTTAGAACGTTGCGTATTCAGATTTTGTTGCGATGACAAATTTGGACATTGTTGACAATTAAGCGTCAAATTGCACCACGAAGGGTAGGAAATATATGTCCTTGACTGCACATTAAACAAAAAAATTATTCCTACGAATTTTTGTCTGTTCGTGTAAATGCTTACAAAACATATGTTATTTTGTTTAATTATATTTACAGTGTTAAACTGGATTCTTAGATAAACAACGTCATAGATGAGTACACAAATGATTCATAGTATTGAATGATTCTAAACATATACCAAGTTAAATTTAACATGCAAATATACAACATTGTATCTTATTTGAGTGGTAACTTATACTTCTAAGAAAGTTACATTTTCCTTTAACTATAACATATAAAAGAAGATAAATAACGCAAACATCTATATAACATAATCTAAAGTAAATTACGTTCGTTTGCGGAATTTTCTTTGTTAAAACCTATTCACAAACAAATGTATTTCAGTTGTTTCACTGAGAATAAGAGGGACGTTAATATATTTTAAGGACGTTAATTATATCTTCTGCATGTTTTCTTACAGCAATGAAAACCCATAGTTAGATAATTATATGAATTAGTATGATAATGCTTTTAGATGTTTGGATTTTCTTTTACTTCATTTGGTACTTTTAATATGTGAAAATTATGACTTTTGCTTACCAATGATATCCTCATAATTGGCAGGACTTTGTCTTTCACTGGTTTAGTGATTGGGTTCCCCGGAGACGTCCGGACTGCGACGTTAATTTGTACATTAATAGAAAGGGCTAGCGGTACTCCGATAGTCTAAAAGCACAGAAAGTTTTCACAAAATTACTTCAAATCAAATTACAGTAGGTAGAAGTTGTAACGACAGTTAACCTGGGTTTCCGAGACCAAAATGCCCGTTTAAAACGTATTGTTGTCACTGTTTTGCCTAAGATAATGACAGGGATAACTGTATAGAGATTTTGGTCTCAGAAACACACGGTTAATTCAACATACTATGGCGGCTAGAACTACACATGCTTATCGCTTACATACTCTATAACAATTGCGTTATAAACAATGCAATGTTTTAAAAATTATTCTTAAAATATTTACCGGTTCAACATCAAGTTGTGAATAATATTTTTCAGGTTCAGGATTCATTCCTTCGAAGTACGTTTGTTGCTGGGCGTCCACGTCCACATAGTGAGGCTTTGATAAGGCTATGGGGAAACCTGCAACAAAGTCAAAATTAGTATATGTTTAATTGTAGCGAATTCGTCTTTCACACTAATTAATTTGATTCTACACTATTTCATAATTAACTCTATTAATATAACATACCGTAGTAACAATTGCTGACGTCAACGAAACCGTCAGGTAGACAGTTCTTAGTACATTTGCAAGCGTATTCTGAAGTTTTATTGAAAGCGGACTCTTGGAGCTGGAATCTAAAAAAAGAAAAATTTTACAAATAACAATAGTCATATGACAATCTGGATATGAACGCGAATCAAATGACGTCCAAGGAAGCTTATTCACCCAAAGTCCATTGCTTATTTACCTCTACTAAAACATGTCATTTTCCCTGATTTTTTGATTTTTTCTTTAAATGTTTTGAATACCGCTGGTCACAGTTCCAAATAGACCAAGTTCTCTGCCAGACACAATGGAACGAACATTATATGGACATACCAACATGACAGACAGTCTCTTACCTGTAAAAATTGAATCCATATTCTCCTTTCATCTCATCCACAAAAGAAAATGGATATATCCTGCAAGCCTGCTTCCTGAATATAGGTATCACGACGTCTTTTGATATCATGGGGGGCAGCATGAGACCCTCATAGGATCCCTTAATACGGTTACACGGTATACTGCAAAAATAAAATTATTGTAATTAAATATATATCATATATTAAGTTAAATGACATAAGTCGTATTAATGTATTAACGAACCTGGTGTTCGGATTAGTATATCCTTGTTCAATAAGTCCTGGAGATTCGTTCCAGGAGTTTAAAGAGAATTTCCTCGATTCATCACCGATTTCCACTTCAGCTGTATCCGGGCGTTTCACGTAGAACTGCAAAAACATTTGTTTTAGTTAGAGCTCAATTACTTATTGCAAAATAATAATAAAAGCTATCACTGAGATAGTGTTGTTGACTGGTATTCGCGTAATAAAAAAACCGCGCCGTGAAAGATTACATAGGTACTCTAAACTTAGGATTTTAAGGCGATATTTATTATTATTCAAATAATACGTTTAGTTTTCAACGCAATTCTTGATTGTATTACCAACAAAAATAAAGAAAACATAATATATTCATTAGCAAAATTGGCAGAAACAAAAAATAGTATATTACTATCTTTTGTTTAGGCTTCATTAAAGACATTAATTACAATAACTTCCTGATTTAGCGCGTCCTCGGTAACGTATCCACACGTGCAGATAAAATTACTGCATTTCAATAGTTAATAAACATGTAATGTACACACATTTTTCAAAGCAGAAGTCTTAACGTGACATCGAATTTCTAAACCTAGAACTAGTACTAAAGCTACTTTTTTAGTGATTTTTTAATAGAGACAAATATTTATTTTTTAATAATTTACTTTTATTATTGTTACTTTTATATTATTAATTTCCGCTCAAATTTATTTTTCTAAGTGCAAATAATCTAATGGTTAATGGTGTAGGCATATATTAAGCAAAGTACGCGTCAATAAATATCTTAGTTAGCCAATCCCACCTCATAGCCATATACAATAGCATCATACCCGATCTAGGATTCCTATCTTCTCAAAATCAATCCATCCCGGAAGTAGTTTATTAGCGATGGATACGATTGGATCCGAATAACCCCAGAGAAGTTCCTCAGCAGTCATGTTCCTGAAGAGAGTAGATCCGAGCGCTGAAATCGAGTAGTAAGCTCCTGCGTTGGCAAAGTACCCCAGTCGGTCTGCCATTAATGTGCTGATGGCCTAAAAAAAACACCATTGATTAAACATTCAAGATTACTTCCGGGGTAGTATTAAGCGTTTATAGGTTCTATAATTTATTGTTTCAAATCGATATTTAAGAAGTTTTTTCCGTTGGTTTAAGCTTAAGAATTATAATTAAAAATATTTTGTAATCAGTTTGAATCATCGTTTTATCATAAAGATAAAGATAAGTAGTCTGTAGGTATCCTTAACTTTTAATTTATTAGTTCTTTGCTAATGTTTATTTGCCTTAGATCTTGTTTTTAATAGAATTCAAATTAAAACTCTCTGAAGTGCAATTATTCTAGTGTTTTTCTGTTTAAGAATAGGAAGTTTAAAGTGAGTTCTAAGTAAATGACCTCGACCTCGAAACAGGACAACAAAAAATGTTAAATTGACTCCTTTTTAGTATATTGCAAGTCAATTAAATAGATTTATTCAATGAACAAATACATTATTCAAATAAACACTACATTAGTCTACGACACCATCGTACATTATACTGTTTATGTATGTACTAGCTGACGCACGCCACTTTACCGCATAAAATATTTTCCCAATTTTATCTAGATCTGCCCAAAAGTTTTTCGTCGTTCGTAATTATAATACAAGCAGGATTTAAACGATTTATTGAAATGACAAAAGATTTTTTTCCAAAACATTTTTGTCGAAGTTACTTAAATATTTTGGTATCAAGCAATTTCTAATAAGTAGTTAACTTTGTAACTAACCTGACAAGTGGGCAAAATTAATGTAACCATCTTGTCATGTCTCGTGTGTCATTTTCCTTAAGTTTATTTTCTAATAGAACTAACCGCGACAGCAGCGCCACACTCAGTTTCAAGTTTCACTTAAATTATCATTTCTTTTACGAAACTATGTTAATCTGTGGACCTTGATTGTTTAAGTCAATGGAAAGGTTATGTAGTCCGACAAACCCTTCTGACCCGGTGAAAGAGGCGCTGTTAATTATGTGAGAAAGTATAAAATCTACTTGATCAAAGGAAATTACACATTATACATGTCACCACAAGACAGCTACAGCACGACTAAGTTCTTATGTCACTTTGACATTGATTAGGAGATGCTAATAAGCTCTTGTATAGACTAACAAGGATATCTGACTCGTGGGCTTAAGTCAAACTGAGCTCACTTGCGCCCACCTGTCAACGTCAAAAATTGTCACTAGATCCTTTTCTTACTATCATTTTTTTATTCTATGCTATTTTCTATGACCATGTAGGTTTTATAGATTTGATATTACAGATTGTGCCTCCTTCACCGGCTGCGATATCTGTTTGATAGTTTCACTTATCCCCACCGGGACAGAAAAAGTTGTCGGACTATAGTTAAATCAGTGTAGTAATCCGAGCACGATATGTTACGTTAGCGTCTGTAATGATCTTGAGCAATCCGACTCATATATTGAATGACAAACAGATTAGAGGGAAAACGACAATCTAATAATACTAAAAGTTACGATAAATTAAGGCTTTTAGAACACTAGGTCGATTTGAAGGGCCCTAATTATTACTTAAGAACCATTTTAATTTACTTGTGTAGTTCATTCCTCTCATTGTCGAAAAAAAAAACAAATTGGCATCCCTAAACTTTGAAAATAAGAGATAGTCATGCGTTTTAATACATGTGTTTTGCAGATGAATTTCATAGTACATTAAAAAAATCACAATTAATTCGGAAGAGGATTGAAGAATACAGACAACTAAACAACAAAATTCCTTTGTAATTTATGCGTTAACCACTATTCGACTTAGATAAAGTGTTAGGCAATTACTAGAAATGTGTTTTTAATTTAAATATATTATTTGAGATTACTAATTGCTTAAGGGCCATGCCACAATCACGAATAATATTTAATGTTATAAACAAGGTTAGTTTTGACCAGACATTGAAGGTTTGAAGTTTGTATGCATTTAGACAGGTGAAGGATCGTTTCATAATAAATTATTTGTTAAATAAAAGGTCAAATCATAATACATTTTAAACACAATTCATTATACAAAAGTATTAATAAACACAGGTGAATTTCCTGTTCATTTTCTATTGCGTGAAATAATTTTATTAATTATTCATCTCGGTTGTATGAAATGCGTTGTTGGTTATATTGTTTATCTAAAAGTTAAGGTTACGAGTATTGGAAGTATTTTGTTATTTTAAGCATTAATGAAACAGTTAATCTCTTCAACCATACTGAGCACACACTACTTTACCTATGATATTATATTAACAGAAGTATTTTACTAATAGTTGAAAAAAGCCTTGCTTCTTATACAGAAGTTGTAGTCGTCAATTAATCGTAATTAGACCATAATTCATTATCATTTTTTTTTTGATGAAAAATACAATTTCCTAATGCAATTTCCCGCATTATTAAACTGTATCTTTGACGTTCTTTTGTTCGCGCAATTAGCTCAAAAACAAGTACAAAGTTCTCAGTTCACGTTATAACTTAATAATTAACTTTATCTTTATGTCCCTATTTATAGATTTATAACTTTCTATTTATCAGTATGTTGTCGGGTCGTTATCACATCATAAAACCATTTATATACAAACACAGTTACACACTACGAAATAATTAAATAAAATATATTGTTAAGTAACTCAATTTTTATAAAGATTAAGATTATCATTTTTTTATATCGCTTATATAAAAAAAATCATGTATGCAAACTGTCAAAAGTATGAATATAAACAATCATAAACTCTCGTAAATTATGTAGAGATAGTAAATATAGGTTTCTATAACGTTATTGATAAGATTATTAGTACTTTATTTCTCTATTCATAACTCAATAATAAAAGAATATTCGAGATTCGAGCAAGATGTGACATATATCTTTATCTATTAAAGTTCATGCACTAGTTTAAAGTTCTACTTTCATTATGTTCCTGTTTATCACAAACCTTTTAATAAATTATTATTGTTGAAGTCAATCAGATAGTTTTTATAACATATTTTAATTTCATAAGTATTTTTGTCGCTAATAAACATTATATTTGTCTCTGTTGTTGCCTCCAAGTTTGTAAAAAGTCTGAATTGTTATGATATTTATTTTTCTACTTTATTTGTGCAAACGAATACATTTTTTCTTTTCACATTGATAAGCTGTAGTACTGATAAATATACAGTTATTTTACAGTTACCAAATGCGGTTAAGTAGGTACCTAACATTGCATATATGTATGCTGACCGATTACTTCGTTATTTTAGCCATTACGGACGCTTGCGAGTTTGCTTTGTATTATAAAGTGCTACTCACAATTAATGCGATGTTAGGCATAGTGACGTGCACATCCTTGTAGTGCGCTATGGACTCCTCCTGCAGAAACTGTAGGTCGATGTTTGGCCGCATGCGCATCACGCCGGCCTCCCGGTCTACCGTCAGATTTCTATTGGTACGGAACTCTCTGCAACAATATATACAATTATATATAAAAAGAAATAGACGAAACAAAACAACTCACGCCCATAACATATAGGGAAAGGCAATGATTTCCACTTAGCAAGGTCCTAACTTATCTCTTGCCTGTTCCACATACATACATCTATCCATGGTCGGTTTATAGGTACATATTATATTTAGCACAAGTATAGATTGTCTTGAATAATGCGTCATCTCCGTGTATAAATCGGTATCTGCCTACCCCACTGACTCTACTTGCTTACTGTGAGAAGGTAAATGATCTGCTCGTCATTGTTTGATTAAAAACTATCGCCTATTATAAAAAGTATATTATTAACATGTTAAAAAGTAGAAATGAAGTGAGAACATACTTATAATTTAAATTTACGTCCGCCACTGTTGAAATACGATTATTTAAACATATACTAAATTTAAAAGTCACATATTTAAATATTTTTGACTAAAATCCAGCGACTAAGAGTTTACGCTAAAAATTCAAAGACTTTTTGTCGCATGACTACAGTAGTAATAATTCAAAACGTTGTCAAATTTCCAGTCTTTAAAATATTCTAAAAAAAACTTGTTAATCTATTGTTTTGACGTCATAGTTACTTGTGAAATGTAGAGCCAGGGGTCACGCTTGTATATAATTGTTAAGTATAAAAAATACCACTGCTATATTCTAAAGTAATGGATTTTAAATTACCGCTAAGTCCATGAAAAACTAGAATAGAATAGCGTTTTAACGACTTTACTGTGGGGTTAATATACCATTTACATTGTCAAAATAACTACAAAACAAATAATTTTAAATCATTCTCTTTGGAAGAACAGAAATAATATTTCTTCCTAATTAAAGAAACAAAACTTAAGTTAGATCTCCGATACACAATCACAAATATGCATAAAACTAAAAAAATAAAATAAAATATAATATTAACACTTTGTTAAGCGTGGTCCAATATCAACACCATTATGACACTTACTGAAATCTAAATGGTCCGATTTCTTGGAGCTTCAATGTCTTGTTACTTCCCTTGAGGTACTGGTCAACATTGGTGTAGTTGAACACGTAGACCTCAGAGAACAGCTGGTACGTCGGATTCTCCCACATCTTAAAGATGAACTTGCCTTCTTGTATGTCCAAGTACTGCGAGAGAATATAGAACATAATTATAGAGCGGCTAGAATTACGATATGTGTTAGTCACGATTAATGGTATACCGTTTTCTGGCTACCTCTATATTTACAGGTGTATGTATTCATTTTTAGACAAAGATAAATACTACAGCTCTCAGTATAATGATCATTTTTAGAAAGTCAACATTGGGTCTGTTAAAAAAACTATTCGTATTTTCTTCTAATTAAAATTTTAAAGCTTTGAAATTACCAATACGTTCAAGGTTAATTCGTGACTTAGATATAACTAAAGTTGCATAGTAAATGTTTAGTAGAATAATAATATAAACAAAGGTTGTTAACCTCAGTAATAAAATAATGAAGTTATCGCTTAATGACAAGCTTTACAAACAATAATATTATAACAACAAAGAAGCAAGTAATTGTGTAATTATTTATAGTATCTGTAATTAATATAAATAATTACTTTAATTAATGTTATTAATAATAAATTTATCTTCACTTTTATTTATTAAAAATTAATATTAGTTGGTAGCATACTGATTGAAAATCGAATTTAATTGATAAAAACAAACAAGGAGTATAAAGTTTTTGCTTCACATTAATATAATTATTGGTCATTTTAATCCAAAAAAAGATAAACAACTTCTATGTCTGAATTAAATGTATGATATTCATTGATGACTTAATTTAATTAATTCAATGATACATTCCTAAAATAGCAGGTAAAGCGTTAATGTATTGCATTTTAATAAAGTATTGATTAATTTGTATTGACCACGTGTAGAGGTCAATGAACGCGCGACTAGGTCAGGGTCACGCGTGGTAATTATACAACGAGAAAATCAACCGTTTGCTTATTCTCTTGAGCTTTTATAAATTAAAAATTCAATAAATTATAACTTCTAATCGATACAGAAATATCGAAAAATATAAATGGTTATAAAAATACTTGTCAAAGTTCATTATAAACCTAAAAATGACAATGAATTTGTAAATAATTTTAATATACAATATTACAACATATATTTGAAATAAATGAAATTAGGCAATGCAAGGATTCCATTACGTTAATATTTAAAAATTACTTAGTTGTTTTTAACTGCTGATATTTCCAAGATATTTTAAAATCTGATGAAGCTTTTGTGTAACTGTTATGTCAATCGCATAGATATAAAAGCGAAGGTTATCAATTGTTTCATAGCAATTATAAGACATAACAAAGAATTGTCTTCAACAACATTGAATATGTATAAACATGGGAGTGCAATGTTGACTTTGCTAATAACACTGGCACTGATTTGTGCGTTAAGTGGTTAAATAAATATAGTTTCCTGTTCGTCTACACTGTGGTGAAGGTTATTTTAAAAAAAAATCAGCGAATTTATCTATGTAAGCAAAAAAAAAATTTTTGAAACTTTTGCATGGACATAGAAAATAACATAAAGTAACATGGTCTGAAAGCTTAGTACGAAAAGGATCTTGTGTGCTGTCGTAATTCGGTTTGACTTGTGGCCACCAGTTCCAATATCCTTGTCGGTATGATTGAAAAAAAATCTTTATTCTCAATGTTAAATATGTTAACGACTATTTAATCAATTGTCTAACATTTGATCGTTAAAATAATGCATATAATTAAACAAAACATTAGACGCAATTCTAAATTACTGGTTTGTAAATAATCCGCATATCCGACCTAAGTAAAACTGTTAAAATAATAATTTGTTTAATTTTAATACAGTATTAAATTATCCGGTTATGACTTTTTAAATGCTCTGCTGTTATTAAAATAAATAACGCATTATTGATTTATGGAAAATAAAGTTTCCGCATTAGAAATACAAGTATGAGATGTAATTAACTTATAATGTTCTGAGATATTTGCTACAAAGGCTTAAAGTTCTATAAGTTTTCAGTACTTACCCAATTTGTAAAAATCTTAACTGGATCGATGACAACGGATACAAGTGCTAATATTGCCAGCAGTGTACCATACACTACTTTGACCACAGACTCTGTAACAAAACATACTATGAGTATTTTCTAGAAGAGATAAATACGGCATCTTGAGTAATATATTACGTAATTTTCAACGGATAGCGTTAAGTTAAGCGTAATATTAAAACTCTGAAGAAAAACATTTTTTTAAATAAAATAAAATTTCTCTAGTCAATAACGCAACGAAATAAATTTTAATTATTGTGAAAAAATCTAAAAGAGTTATAGTAAATATGTAACTCTTACGTTTCTTTTGAACGGTAAAGTTCTGTATCTTCATGATGGAGATTCGGCCCTTGCTCGGCACCTGTTGTAACGTCTTTTTGGCTCCCACCACCATCTTGCATTTATCTAAAACAAAGTTTAAACAGACCTTATTAACTTCTGAAACAAGTACTCGATTAACCGTGGGTTTCTGATGCGAACATCTCTGTATATATCATATCGTTTTGTAAAGGATAATGATAGGGATGACGACATGTTTTGATCTCAAAAACCAATAGTAAACCTGCGTAAATTTTGACGACAACGTTTTTCTTTTCAAATACATATCATTAGCGAGCTTCTGTAAAAATTAACCAGTTGCTAAATTATTGTATACGTTGACTGTTACCTCGTTTTTTCTATCGAAGAAAAAAATCACATGACATTTTAAAAACGCGTTTATATTTAAGTTATACAGTTTTTGACGTATCTAACTTACAACTTAGAGACGGCATAATAAATAGCTTAATATTCATGTGGATATGAATTTTAAGAAATGGCCATAAATATGGTTGCTACATTTGATTTAAGCCATAAATTTATTAGGTCTTGATTTTATTCGTTTAATAAAATTATCTACATGCCGAAGATTAATTTTGTACAAGTAATTTGTAATAATTTATAATATTATTTAACAATGAATAAATCATGACACAAATCCAACCGATTAAGAATTACATTATGTATTATGAATTGAAATATATTAATATCTTTATAAAAATGTTAGATAAAAATAAGATAAATCTTTTAGCGTGCAGCGAATAAAGTAAAATATAAAACAAATTAAATAATCTTATTAATTTTATAAATACGAATGTGTGGATGTAAAGATGGATGTTTGTTAGAAGGTATCTTAACCCTTAATAGGGATAAGGGCAGATTGATGATGATCTTCAGAACAGCAGCATGGATGTCGCTGAAATTTGACATATTGTGGAAACATCGATTACTGATTAAGTTTTTTTTAATTCCTTACGGACGGAGTTGAGTGATACTTAGTAATAATATAGAGCGAATAAACTGTGGGTTCTCACAAGGAGGCAACCTATTCCCATTCCTTTCCATATTTAAGATGACAATATATACAGAACAATGGATGTCGATTGTATAAAATAAAAGGTAAAGACAAAACAATGCGTTTGGCAAAATAGATAATAGTTATGACGCAAATACTGCTATCAAATATCGCTTTGCGATTCCTTTAATTGCCTTCACAATATAAAATAACTGCTATTAAACTACTTGAAATAATAAGCTTCAATACTTCATATATTTATGCTAATTGCGTTTGACAGCAAATCGGTAGAATTAAGTTCGTCTAGACTGATTTACTGTATACAGGATGATACAAACATCTTTGCTACAGCTTTAAAACTTGCAACAGGGTGACTATCTATTATGTGTAATCTCTGCGTGTTTCCAAGATATTATTGTCATCCTTTTTATTCCCTTAAAAAATAAAGACAACAATATTAGAAGTGATTTGTATCAACCTGTATATAAGACGTGCATGTAAATAAAGACTAAAATTGAATAACCTCGCTTGATCTTTGAGTGCAGTCTCAATTAGTAATTGCTTGTTGTTCACAGAACAATAATTGTTACTAATGTTTAATAAGGTTTAACCAACCATTAAATAGATATACAAATATATCATAAGAAAAAATATAGTTAACGATGTGTTTTTGCAACGAACAAAGGTAATTTTTTTTAGTAATTTGACTCGGAATTCGCGCGTGTAAAGACCTTAATGACTCTTGAGTTTTCGTCGTTATCACTAACTACGCCCCGCAGTTTTGCACGTGTCTTTTTCCTTCTTGCTACTTTTTTTTTATTCGATAACATAAACTGAATAAAGTAACTAATTCCAAATCTGGAGATTTTTTCTTCTTCACTTACACACTCATGGTTAGTTACTTCGGTTTCGCTACAGCTTAAGACCCGTCGGGACTTTTTCAAGCTTAGTGTAGTTCGACACAAGATTACTCATGGCTTGAGGCTTTTTAAGAAGTTTATAAAAATGTTATAATTTTAGTGTAAATAATGTTCGTGTATAGTCAAACACAAATACTCAAGTTACTGAACGTCCCCAAGATAATTAAAAGACCTTATGACACCGAAAAGTTATAATCTCAAGTGGTTGGAGATGTCTATGGGAAGCGTTCACTTCTTTATCGAAACCACGTGGCATCTTTATGACATAAATAAATTAGCATACCATATATTTATACATAATATAAATTCATGTTTCTACATTTAAAAACTCGGGGAACCGGCTCAAATGACTGATTTACGTTTGCAAAAACAATTGAAATTCTTCACGTTACTTATGTTAAAGCAAGAATCGTTACAAGCGACTTGCTTCTCGTATTTAAAGGAATACATGTTTCCGTGGTTTTTACTCCATCTCTAACACGAGTTTGTAACCATTATACTCCAATTTGTTGAAAAAAAGTTGGCAAATACGAAAATAATTGCCTTATCATTGATTGTAACGTAAAACTTAGTATCTTAGAGTTTATCCAAACGCAGATATTTAAGACCGCCGGTCGCTCAGGGATTAAAGCACATGACTTGTAATCTGCAGGTCTTGGGTTCGAATACCAGCATGTACCAATGTGTTTTTAGATTTTCGATTTACATATGTATCCGACGTTCTTACGGTAAAGAAAAACATCGCGATGCAACATGCACATATTGTATACGAAGAAAATTGAAGATATGTGTGAAGTCAACCAAACTGCATTGGGCTAACATGGTCGACTATGGCCTAATCACCCTTAACTTAGGGTAGGCTTTGAGCCCCTCGGTGGGGACGTATAGTGAGCTGATGATGAGAAATTTAAGTAACCTCTAAAATATGTCTTGGAAATGTTATATTTATACAGCAAATCTGTGTAGACGGACTAAATACGGTAGTGTTTGCGTTGTTTTATTACAGTTTGCTTGCTTGTACAGCTTTTAGTGTGTTAGTATTACAGTAGACTTGAATGCTAACAATATAAAACTGTATACAAAGCGATTTTATGACATATTTTTTAATCACCAACTCATTGTTTAAAATTTCAGTAAAAAAAATCAATACTAAAAATTTTACAAATATTTCTTATAATTATACAAAATAAAACTCTAGGCTTCTTTTAGCATATGATTTAATGCAAGGATTTAATTTCACGATCGCGTAATTGTACTCGTATATCCGTATTCATAACCATTAGTGCTTGTTCACGGCAAGTTGCGGACGCGTCAGCGGGCGCGGTCGCGAAATTTCAATCCTATATGCAAGTGCTCACACAGGAATCTCACTTGCGTTCATCGCTCTCGCGCGTTAACATGCGACCACTATTTTTAATGCGAATTTAAATTAAATAAAACGATTTAAATTAAATAAGACATGATTCAATTTGTAGGATATCTCTGAGTGATGTACCACACAATACACTTATCGAATATCGAGGGTCGCAAAAAATCAATGTCCAATTATATAACGCCTCTTTAAATTATTCATTTGATTCACCAAAAAAATTATGACAGCTTTTATTCAAATTTAATTCCTATGTATAATAAAAAAAATGTAATGCCTGTATTGTCCATAATGACATAATATTTTTTCCTTTGCAAAGTCTCGTACAAAAGGATTGTACACGAAATGTTGATTATGGATTAAGGAAGATAAAAACTTTTCAGTGTTATGTTGATACGAAGCGAACTTGATTTCTTACTTTAAAGTAGTCGAAGATGATAGTTTAAAATAATGAAGTCAAAAAAATTAAAAAACTTTTTCCATTTATAAATTAACGTTCAAAATTTTTTATCCATTTATGTTTTTAAAATTATAAAAAATTGTAACTAGTTAATATTTTTCGGGGCCGTGTCTCATCACTATTCCACTATTTAATAATGCTAATCAAATCGTAAGCTTTTTGCGAATCTTTAAATATTTATTAATGGATCGTTACGTGGATATAATTTTAAAACGGAAGGATATAAAATTATCTTGATATTTTGTTTATCAATACTCGTAGTATTTGGTAATATTCCATGTTATATTCAAGGTATAGTTCATGAAAAAGTTATTGACTAAGCTCCACCAACATTTTTTTAAAAACATCATTTACTTTTCATACTTGTGACTATTGGTTAAATAAAAGCAATATATTAGATTTATTTGACCTTAAATTAAAATTGCAAATTAAAAATAAATTAAGTATGTGTTATTCCTTTTTCAAAGAAATCTGTGGAAAAACCCCAATTACGGAAGTTAGTCATTTTCATATATATTTAAGTAATAAAAATGCCATATAAAAGATAAACCGGAAGGAACTAAATCAAAACAACGCTCCTAGACACGCCAGATGACTAATCTAAAAGGTCATAAATAAATTTAAAATCAATGTCACAGATATGTTTCGAAACTTTCCTTGTTTTCAACACAACAAGCATGTATTTATTCTATGGTAGAGTTGCCTTGAACTCACCACACAAATAAATTCTAAGGAAAATCTAAAGCATCGGTTCTCCGCACAGATCAATACAATGGTTTGCTAACACTTCCGTGTATGTTAAACTCAAAATAAATATTTAATAACTTTTTTATTCAATTTTGTATTAGTATGTTACAACTGAATATTTATGAAATCTTTTTTGTTCTAAAATTAAGGGTTAAAAGAACATTTTACTGCCTAATTTTATTATTAATTAATCTATTTGATAATCATTATAAAAACGTTAATTTATTTCTTTTTATTTAAATGGACCGAAACTTTTTATTATTATTATTATTACCAGTTTCATTTTTATTTCATTGTAAAATAATAAAAGCTAAATATTTAGTAAACCACATAGAAGTAACATTATAGATTTCGTGCAAACAATATGTTTGTCTACCATTTATCACAGACGTTTACGAGAACATCTAGCTTGGGGTTTCTGTGAATCACAACCATGTGCGGAAAATGTAATACCGTTAAATTTTTCAATGCTAAAAAGGGATCAATGAAAAATAAATGCTTCATATTTAAACTTCGAAGGTCTTTAGATAGAATACTACACCATTTCTAATCTAGGATAGCTTTTAACAATCTATACTCCAAATAAAAAAGTAAGTTTAACTTGCGTAAAGTAAACATTTGGCAGAAAATAAAGTAATTAATAATATCTATTCAAATTTTTAACGATAACAGATTCGATCTATACGATATTATTTTTTTAAATCTATAACTAGCTGTCGCCCGCGATTCCGTCCGCGCGGAATTAAAAAAAATCTTAATAGTAGCCTCAGTGTTCTTCAAGACTATGTCCAATATCTATGCCAAATTTCATTAATATCCGTTGAGCTTAAGAAGAAATATATTAAATAGGGTTTAAACAAAACTGATTGTAAAATGATTTAATTAGAGTATAATTTAAGGTTACACGCTGTATATCAAGGTTTATTACACCATAACAACTTTCAATCCGAACAGACGAGTGGTTAACTGAGGTTCTTTCACACGCAAAGTTCTAGAAACTTCAGTATTAGTTACCATGTCTTAGAATGAAATGTAAATCTAACAACTGTTCCACAATTGGATTAGTTTTATTAATATAAATGGAGTCTATGAAAGGTGCAACAAGAATAAAAAGGGACTGGTAATTTGTTTATCGCTGTTGACTATTTTTAGCTTAGAAACAAATAAGTTTGGATGATGTGAATGAACTACTGAGAACATTAGTAATAGCATTAAATTAATTTGTCACACCACCAAAACAAATGGTACTTTGTAGACAAAAAGCTCGGTAATTACATAAAAAAAAGTAATTTTCATTCTAAAACACTTTAAATTTACTTAAGTTACCAAGGAATAAATTATTCACGGTCTCTAAATTTAAAAACCACAATAAATCATTATATAAATAGACGCAAGTGTCTTCTATTAGATTAGCTATATATTTATATTTTTTGTTACTGAAAGTTTTTTTAATGATAAATTACGTATATGCACTTCTTTACCACATTAAGTATATCTGTGTCGAATTGGACGTTTATCCGTGCAGTCAGTTTCCTTAAAAATGGGTACAAAATTTACGCTTTACGTATTAATGATAAGTACTAGATTAATTTGAAACCTAATGCACTAAAATGTAAATAATTATCGCACGTATGTCGAGCCTTGATTACACTATATTTGATAATACACGTCTATCCAGCGAGGATGACTGTACGCTAGTCTTTATTAGTCACTAACTGTCGCCCGCGGCTCCGTTCGCGTGGTATAAAAATCTTTTTTAGTATCCTATGTGTTCTTCCAGTCTAAGCTATACATCTATGTCAAATTTCAGCGTGATCTCTGCAGCCGTTCTGGTACACCTTCTAACAAACATCCATCCATCTAATTATTTGCATTTATAATATTAGTAAAACAAAAGAATAAACGTTCATTAATTTCCATTACATTCAATAAAATAAATATAATTATGAATATACTCAAAATGATAAAAAGTTGCGTATATTATTTTTGTTTTGATATGCATTTTGTAAAAAAAACGGCAGAAGGAAAATTTTGCTCCGTCTTAAGATTGGACCGCTTGAACCAGTCCGTTTATGTCGGCCCTAAATTATTTCTTTATACGTAAAATTCTTCGCCAATTTCAAGTTCAAGGTGTTTTATCGAGTTGATATAATGTGTCCAATAAGGATGTGCGAAGTCACTAGAATCCCTTTTCCAATAAACGAACCTAAGCAACTATTATGTTTAATTATCGCATAATACTTTTAACACAATACTGGATTATTTTATCATATGGTTCCCTGCTAAAGTTCTTGTCTAAAACATATTATTCTTTTTTTTAGACAATAAGGGAAAAGCAATGATTATGGTTTCAACTTATAAGTATTTCGGTTAATTTTTTTTTAAGGACGTGCACGAATTAACACAGTCAAACCTGGATAAGCGAGAAACCTCTGTAAACGAGAATCGTTGTCCAGACCCGGCGGACGACCTCCATAAGCGAGAAACTCGTGTTAGAGAGAAACCTTTTTAAGCGAGATAAATATCGCGGCCCAGGTGCAGCTGTAGTCTATCAAAAGTTATCTAATTTTAAACGTTATATATAAATGTTCGACTTTAGTAAAGTAAATAATCAGTGTACATATCATTTTTAAATGAGTTTATTCAACTGATCATCAGATTGAATTGATAATACACAAAACTGAGATTTAATTTTTTTAATTTAATGTTTTTTTTTACATTTCAATACATTATTAATTCGTTTAAAATGTTTAAATTTAAGAGATTGTTAAAGATAACAGTTATAAATCTAAGTTTTATCGTCGATTTATCCAAAAAAGAAAAAACTACAAAAGGATAAACGCATTGTCTTCGTTAAGCTTATGATAAATAAGAGGTATTCATTGGTTTATATCTTATTTTTATGCTAAATATCTTAAAGTTTGTAATATTTTCAATTAAACTGTGTAAAATAATATTATGAATTTAACGATACTTTACTGTTTTACTTGTAATTTTTTTAATTCATACAAAGGTTTCAATAAGACTTGTACAAGCGCTGTTATTAAACTTTAAATATTAAATACAGCATTAAATAAGGTTCATAATCGTTTGTATAACATGGATATTTTACTAAATTTGTGTTTGGCATGTATAACGGCGTGTCTAATATTGATATTTGATTCTTAGATTTTTTTTGCATATTAAATGAAGTTTGTACATAATTCAGTGAGTCAATATTATGATAGACATGTCTACTTTCATTCAATAACAGTTTAAAGATGTTGTACACTAAATACTTACGTAAGAAAATATTTATTTTATAAAAAATCTTTTAGACATAAATAAATATTCTATTTTATCAATAGTGTAATACATCGTAATACTCTGATAATGATTACTATATAGCATAGTTTAAACTTTGTTCAAAATTCGAGAAAAATCATAATCAAACATTTCTTACATAATTATTATATTAATAACAATTATATTATTTTATTTCTGAGTAATAGTGATTTTTGATGAAAAAAAGGTAATTATTATATTAAATTTATAAATTTTTGTACTAAACTACATAATACAAACAAACAAAACTTTTATTTAAAAACCATAAATGATAGGTATGTACCAGATAAGATCAAACTCAGAAAACAACTATAGTGGAGTAAATTTAAATGACACTAAAATATTCAATTGTTTTTGTATCTTGATGCCACCGTATCATTTGTACGTGATTTGACTGGAAGCCAAATACAAACAACTTGATTTCTTTTTACGATTAATACAGCCGAAGGATAATACTAAAATACATCCCACATTATGTAGAAATATGTAAATGGTTATGACTTGTCATAGATCCTTTCTTTGATTTTAAATGTACATCTTTGACTATAAATACCTTTCTGTACTTTGAAAATGTTAAAACAATCGTGTAGATTTTATAAACAATGCTTTATTTTATAATCTTCTCTGCACTTCAAACAGTAATAAACACTTAAATAAACTCGGTTCATATACTTTTGACTAGGGATCCCTTTTGGTAATATTTGACAGAACCCTTGATTCTATGTTTGATTATTCTGAGCCCTAGAATTACTTATAATTCTATTCTCGCGTTCAGTTGACGTCCTGTCCTAACTTTACATTAAACTTTTAACGGATTTTTCCCTTGGAGCATTATAGTATCGGTTTAATACTTTATTAAATGAAATAAAAAAATTACATAAATTAGTTTTAAACCTAATGAAATGTATACTTAATTATTTATTTTAAAAGACGCATCATTTAAAAAATATTATATTCATTGAAAAAAAATAATTTATTGTTTTGTTAAAGTTATATAATTATGAAATATTAAATTTCTTTACAAAAAATTATTATTTAATTTTTAATTTCACTGATTATTAAAAATATGAAGCAATAGCTTATTATTTAAAATTTAAAAAACATACCTTAATATCGATTACTTTTCCAAAATCACTACACAGTTTAGCGCACAATTTTCTCGTAAAACCGCTACGATTGTATATCGTCCGCGAGATGCGCATTCGTTGCGCCTGCGCAGCATTGACTGAGATACGGCGGTGCGGGTTCGATATCCTATATAAGGCTCAATCGCATGCGTCGATAAACAGTTTTTTCTAACTCCATTGACGTACTTCAAAAACTCGAACTAACTAATATATATATATAACAATAACTAAATCGACAGGTGAATATTGTGCGACTAAATTTTCTGTCCCGGTAAGAGAGATCGCGGTATCGCGGTTAGTTCACACATAAATACGTTAAAACAACTGAAGCATAGAAAATGACAAACATGACTAGACATCTATTGTAAAATATCACAAGGATGTTGCACTTTTTTGACACTGCCAACGAGTTTAGTTTGACTTATGCCCCCCGGGTCAGATAAGTTTGTCAGTCTGTATGTCTGTGTAAATAACACGTTTTAGTACGTTTTGTATTCATTATTTCTTAAAAAAAGACATACATTCAAAATTAAACATTAAAATTAAAATGCACATTTAAAATTATTTGTATATTTTCCTTGTGTTTAAAAGCAAACATAAAAGACACAATATTTCAATAAATTTATAATAGTTCAACAAAATTATTAACTATCACTGATTCCTATTTTATATTTAAGATTATTAACAAGTCAAATAAGTATAATTTTACAAAACTAAACAATCTATGTAATAGAAATTAATATTTCTATGTTCGTCCCATGTGCGTCCTTAAAGCACTAAACAGACAGTATCAACTTCTTAAAACGTAAAAAAATTGTATCAAATTGCGATAAATAATCGATATTAACACGAACAACAATATAACTCACGAACATCCAACTGATATTAACGTCAGAAAGGTAGACATAAATATATAGAGCATGTTGAATAAAATCGATTAATAAAACCCGGAGAAGAAACGAGAAAACTCTGTATTAGCAATATTGCTTACGTAAAAACTAACACTTATAATTAGATGAAAAGATAAGTACTCTAATGTCAACGTCTATAAACTATGAAGCTGTGATACTATTTCTAACAATGGCAGAGCAATCGATGAGACAGGTGTTAATAATGTGTAACTTATGTAAACGATTACATCCTTGTATATTACAACAAGCAATAGTTAATTGAAAACTGAGTTATAAATATAAAGATAAAATTGGATCAAGATTTTTTTATTATGTTCAATAGCGACATCTGTCGTATGTCTTTGAAAATAAATTAATAAAATTAATTTACTAAACCTGACTGATTGTAATACGAAACTTCGAGAAAATACGAATCAAATAACTTCACTCATAAAAGCCGAGCAATTTAGACTGAAAGTCAACATGGAACGAAAGTATATAATATATGAACTTTACATATAGGTAATTAATAAGATTTTAAAATTACCAAAGAATTCATCTTTCCAATAATGGAAATGACTAAGGTCACCGTGAAATGGACATCAAAGAGACTTTAAAAAACTTCGAAAAAAATCTATTCTACATCATCTATCTATTATACATCAAAACAAGGAGTAACAAAGTTATAAATCACGATACAATTTTTTATTGAATACACCTAAAAAATGAAATCGGTCTCGTGTTATTTAGTAACCTCACTCAACTACAATCTGATATACATCCAATTCACTCGTGTGTTTTGTATGAAGTATTTATAGATTTCTTTCATACTCTCTGTTGGAGATCAAATTAACTCTTAAATTTAAAAAAGAAAAACATCATAACAGCGGTTAAACTTCAACTTATATTTATTCAAAGCTTTGCAAATAATAACATATTTATAAAATTAATTATTCAAATTCATAAAACTTCTTTAAAAGGACATGAAAAGGAAATTGTCTTTTTTTCAAAAATTTAAGCTCTATTAGCAAATGTAAGCAAAAAGTTAAATATAATAATAGATTCGTATTTCAATAGGCTTTAAACAAAAATATTTTATCGGTAAAGTTTGCCGTTATTTACAATATCGAAATATTTATGTAACATTTTATGTTCCCCTAGGATCTTTTGTAAAATTCTAAAATAACATGATATTGTATATGTATTTCATGAAATCAATTATATTTCAATATGTATACAGGGTGTCCCAAAAGGTTACGTACATAGGAAGGGGGATGATAGGGGTGGTCACACACAAAAACTTAAAAAATTTACACCTTCTGGGGCAATTTTTATTTACTTTAAAATCTTCGTTAGTTGTTTTTTTTTATTTCATGTTGATAAAGGGTTATTGACTATAACATAATAGCTTTTTTTTAAATATAGCAATATTTGTAGATCAAATCGATCGATATTGGTTACAAAATTGCCCCAGAAGGTGTAAAATTTTTAAGTTTTTAAAAAATGCCCTTTATTTTTTTTTAATACCCAGAGGGGAATTTTTATTTTATTTTTCTGGTGACCCTTGTGAACACCCCTATCATTCCCCTTCCTATGTACGTAACCTTTTGGGACACTTAACTGTATACACATAATGAGGCATTTTTACAATCACAATATTATTAACAATGTGTACAAATATCCATAAAAATTCCATTAATTAATAACAATGTTGCAGTCATAATTAAATATAGAAATTAATGGTTTTTTGTCCTTATTGTTTGACATTGCTTAACTTACCTCATGCAACAAAGTTAAATTTAAAAAAAATGGCAAATAAGCAATAAATCTTAAAGTGACACTAAACGAGGAAGAGAATAAATAAATAAATTTACTACTACAAGCCTTTTAAATTCTACAGTTTAGACAAAAAAAACAAAACAGTAGTTTTATTGTTTGTTTAATTATTATTTATCGTATAACGTTAAAATATGTTTTAATTCGCTTGAAGTTTTAGCATTTTTTTACATTTATTTATTAAAGTCAGAAGAGTTTCTTTGCGTCTATCAAATTAAACATATTTGTACTTAAATTTATAGAAAATGTAAAAACGTGAGTCGATGTGAAACAGTATAAATAGAATTTCTTAATATCAGTCTAAGCCACAGCTTTATGGGCATGTTATTTTGAAAACACTTTAGGGCTTAAGTAAAGTAAAATTTTAAACTTAAGTCCCTTATCTGTCTCTCTATCTAACTGTCTTTACATGACCCCAAATGTGAAAAGACAATTAAAAACTTTTCTGTTTCTTGTTAAAAATTCTCAATAGTTTCACGAGAGGTCTAAACTAGCAGGATATCAGATGACAGTTTTATATTACAAATGCCAAGCTTCCAGTTCTCACGTCCACGATTCAGATGTAAAGACCTTACTTGATTACGTGACTGAATTCGCAATGTGTCAGAATATCAAATTACATGATTTTCATGCTTTCGACCTAGAGCTTACCATAGACCTATAAATTTACAGACGCGGAAAGGACTCAGTTTCGGAACAAGTGAAGCATTTACACGTTGTAGTATATTGGTATGGTGTTAGTTGTCTCGGGCGACAACGTCATGTCACTCGTGACAGCCAGCAGGCGACCGACACCTTTGTGTGAGGCGATTATATATGTTGTGTGGCGTCGATGAGCCGTAATTTTCACAAAGACTGGGGACGTTACACACATATTTACTTGATATCACGCAAGTAAAAAGTTATCATAAAGTTATTAGGAATTAAAACCAGAAAACAATAAAAACAGTTTAGGGACAAGTTAAATTGAATGCTTGCTTTAAGGTCTTGTCATAAAAAAGAGCGATAACTCAGTGATAACCTCGATCAGTCAAAAGTCGTTAAAAATGTAGAGATATGAACAAAAAAATAATCTCATAGCGAGTGAGATAAAGGCAGAGAAATTATGAACACTGATACGAGGCATATGTACAGATGGGACAAGCGATGGTTACATGCAGGCTATACTTCATTTTTTGATGATTCGAACGTTGACCATCACTTAAAAGGCATTGTCTTTATTTGAATAAGCTTATTTCAAATGTTTTTATACCTTTATCTTAAGTAATATGGTACCGGATGTAATTACCGGAGATTTTGTCTTAATGTATTAACAAATAATTAACTAAAACAAACATTGTCAGTTTCCGTTTATTTATTTGCAAAGCTTTGTAGTTAATTACTGGAACAGTACTTACGACTTTGATTTTCTGTGCTATTATCCTTTTTTTCTCCTTACATCTATAAACAAACTGATTTAGAAAACCAAAACAACACGACTCACTGAATAACAATATTCAAAGAGTTATATTCGAAAACGTTTTACACTAATTGAGAATGTTATTACCTACGTTCACACGTGTGTGGACGTAGCTATGCTACACGTGCTGATGTAAAACTGACTGCGACACTTTGAGTAAAAATGAAAATCGAGTGACAACTCATTCGTTATAATCTTTTTGGTGTTTTATATTTCATGTGATCACAACGGAACTTACTTACATAAAACCCCACAAACATACGCACGAAAAGCTTTACCTTCCTGAGAAAAAAAGATGACGTCAGACAAATAAATCGGTGGAAGTAATGCGGTCTCCTTTGAAACGTATGGAAAAATAACAATATTAAAAAACAAACAAATGTAATGTACTTTATACAATGACTAATTCAAGCAGTATTTTTTTATTTTAATCAAGTATTATATATATTTGTTCAATATTTTAAATCAAGTTTAGTGCACTCGCGACAAAACTTGTTCCAAAGCTTTTGTACTCGGCTTACGTAACCGCAAATAAATGAACGCTGAGGAAAACTTGAAAGAAAAACTCTTTTATAAGTATATCGTATAAAAAAAGGAATCTGAACTCTGTCGCTTTTATTATATAAACATTATAAAAAGTGTAATTATGTAATATTATGTGCTATTATACTATAATCAAGTTTAATTGATTGTTCTGAGTTATCATGTATTCGGGCTTAAGTGACTTTATTATTAATACTCATTGTTGTCTCTGTTTCGTGAAAGAGAATGAAAGGGATATGAAATATTTATTAATAGACTCACTGCAGCGGAGCTCTACGGTTAAAAGCAATGTAAGCTACGCTAAGCTAGTCATAAACTAATAATGTGTCCCTACTGAGAGACCCGGATCCTACCCGAAGT